TCTCTACATTTTGTGTAAGATTTTTTTGAGTGACTGTTCTCTGGCACTTTTAGTTCTCTTCTGAACATCAGTGTTGACAGTACATTGCTGGTAGCTTCATGTAGAACTGTACTATACTTATCAGTAGCAATGGAAAATTGTGGTCCATGTTTTTTTATGTGTATCTGCAGAAGATGGATGAAGTGCTAGTCTTTTTAATCCCAAGGATCTGATTCATTTCTGCAAACAAGTCTGATTTAAAGTTCCATCCTTGATCTGAGTGAAGTTCCATGGGCACACCAAATCTTAAAACAAAGTTGTTGAAAAATTTCTTTGTAGGAGATTCAGCTTCCTGGTTAGGAATAGGAACAGCATGTGCTTCTGGCCATTTGATGAAATTGTCCATTCCATCCATGAAGCATATATTCTCACAGTTACTACTCTGTGGAAGAGGGCCAAGCACATCAACAGCAGCTCTCTCCAGTGGTACTCCAACACAGTACTGCTGTAGCTGACCATGTTGTTTCTTTCATGGACCTTTCTGTTCACAACACAGCTCATGTTTTACACTAATTTTCCACAGACTTCCGGCATCCAACCCAGTATAAGCATTCTCTTACTCACTCTAGTGTGTTCTTAACACTCAAGTTTCCAGCTATTGTAAGGTTGTATAGATGATGGAGTGCTTCTGAATGTAAAGACTTGGAAGGTACCAACTGTAAATAATCCTACTGTGCCCAGTACATCTTTATTTTTGGCCTGTATGGGGCGACTGTTTGCCATCAGGGTCTTTCTGCATTATTCTTGAGCCACTGAATAGTTGGTTTTAAACTCCTATCATTTGACTGAGCAGATTCTACTTGGGTGTTGGAATACATCAGTTCTTCATCACTGGTGGATGACACACCTTGGATTATACTTTGCTGCAGTTTAGGTTGGTCATCTTTTCTATCCTGTGCTTCCCTCTTCTCACAGTGTATATATGTTTATACTTATCATTTACTTGTGGTCTTCAGGATAAAACATCAGCATTTCCATCCAGGATAATGTTAAAGTTGTACTCCTTGAGTTTTTGAAGCCATTTTGCTATTTGGTCTTCGTGATAATGAAAAATCACCAGCCACTTCAGTGCTGCATGATCTATCTGAAGAATAAACCTTTGTATATATAGATAATGAAAGAAGTGACAGGGCTCAAAAGACATTTAGTAGCTCCGTTTGAGTTGTACAATGCCTCCTTTATGCAGCATGAATTGCTTTACCATATTAGGCAGTCACATGTTCTTTTCTGTCTTGTACATGTGACAAAACTTCTCCCACTAAAAAATCACTGGCATCTGTGTCTAAAATGAGTGGATTTTCCAAAATTGAATATGCCATTGCAGAAGTAGTTGGCAATTTCTTCCCCAGTTTTGAATGCTTGTTCACGATCAAAAGTCCAACAAAACATATTTGGCTTCTCAAGTAGTTTTTGTAAAGGACAAGCTATGTCCAAAAAAAAAAAGATTTTACAAAATGACAATAGTTACAGCATAGTCCAAGAAATTCTCTTGCTTCACACAGATTCTTTGGTGTTGGTCAATTCTGAATGGAGTCAATCTTTCATGGATCTGTAGACACTCCTTCTCTGCTGACTGTGTGTTCCAGAAAACTCACCTGTTGATGGAATAATTTACACTTCTTCGGTTTCAGCTTAAGGTTACTTTTCCTCAACCATTCCAAAACTTTCCTTAGTCCTTCATAAACATTATCAAAGGTCTTCCCATGTGTGACTATATCATCCAAGTAGATGAGTATGACATTCAAGGGTAGTTCAGACAAAGCACATTCCATTAATAGTTGGAATGTACCAGGAGCATTACACAATCCAAATTACAACATTACAAACTGCCAAAATCCATTTCCTGCTGTAAAGGTTGTATTCTTCCTACTTTCTTTGTTGACTTCCACTTGTCAATATCCACTATTAAGATACAATGGTGAAAACCATTTCAATTCAAGGTAGAATTAATCCTTGGCAGTGGTTAAGCATCCTTCTTTGTAACTTCATTCTTCTTCTGGTAGTCCATGCAGAACCTTATGGATCCATCCTTTTTCTTCACAAGTCCTAGTACTTGGTTCTATCACTCCTTGTTCCTTTATTGCTTCCATCTCTTTAAACACCTCAGTATATTTTGCAAGTGGAAGTCGTCTAGTTAACAGATGTATTTAGGGCTGTATCCACATTATCACTCTTCTTAGATATTTTACTTGTTTGGCCTAAGTCATGAGTTTCACTGTACACGGTTTCCCAATATCTCCATGAGCAAGTTATTTAACTGCTAGTACTGATCAGTTGTGAGACCTCCAAAGCTCCCTTCATAAAGCCCTTGTATGTGAGCTGGTAAGCTTTCCTTACATAAGTATTTGACATTGTACTTTCTACATCTTTTCTTAAAGGTAACTACTTCTGATGTTCTCTGATGTAGAAGTACTACCTGTACAGCTTTACATCTTGCAATGTACTATCCAGATTTGACTCGTATCTTATGGTTTTTTATATTCATGGCCCTAATTATAACATCTTTATTATTCAGGTCCATAAGATTTTTACCAACCATAAAGCTATCTGGACATACTGGAGTGTTTGGATACATTACAGCTCAGTCATTAGATGAAAATTAGTTTTTAACAGGTTCTGGTATGAATGATTCACTTCTCAGTGGTACATTGGCTACTTTTCTTGTTGTCATGGGAAGACCAATCTCTGGTGTAGTAATTACCACACAGTGCAAAGGGATTTCCTGGTCATAGACTGTGATGCTATTTGAAGCTAGCCTAACCTTGCATCCATGTTTATGCATGAAGTCAGTTCCCAAAATGCATTCTTCTTTGACATCAATTACCCACACATCATGAGGCATAGAGAAGTCTCCCACAGTAGGAGTAACTCTAACTTTCCACTTGCTGGTCATATCACTCCCTCTTCTTTATTCATACCTAGAGGAAGTTTCTCAACTTTCATTACCAAATCAGGTCAAACTATTGTAGCTGTAGAACCAATAGTGATCAAAATACTGCATGGTTTCCCAGCAATAAATGCATAGACTTATAAGCTGGTTTAATCTTTACATTTAATTATTAATTTTCTTGATGTTTTATTCTGTCATCAACGTTCTTTTCTACCTCAATGATGCTCTTTTTTTTACTTTGTCGATGTCTCTCTTTATTTCACTTCTGACTTTGTTGATGTCTTTTTGTACTTCTTCAATCTTACTGTTGTAATCTCTCTGTACATCTTCAATACTTTCATTTGATCTTGTCTTCAATCAAATTTATTTTAATTCTTCCTTAAACAGTACACCTCTTTCTTGTAAATTCTCTCTTAAATTTCCATATCTTACTCCTTCATCTTTTAATTTTTTGTAAATTTCTTTCTGGTTTTCTTTTAATTTTCTATCTCTTTCTTCTAATTTTTGGTCTTGTTCTTCCTTGTCTTCTTTTAATTTTTTGCCACATTATTTCTGGTCTTGTATTAATAATCTCAAGTAATACTTGAATCTCACTGATTGATCATGTGGTTTACATTTTCAACAGTTGAAGCTCTATCTCGAGTATATTCCAAATTCTATTTTCACCAAAATAATACCCCTCTTCTGATACCAGTGTTATAGCAAAGTTATTTTATTGGCATTTTATTCAGGGAAAATAATTGAAGTAGTGATAATAAATTACTTTATTTCCTCTTGAACGCTTGTACACTGCCATCAATTTGTGTAAGCCTATGTAACAAATGATGTTAACTAATGTAAAACAAGGAAACTTACTTGTATAAAGTAACTGCGAATTTAACACACTGAGTTCTTCACTTTCAGTCTTGAAATCATAAATAGCTCCACAATTGTCTTCTATTTATAATCTAGTTTTGTATATACTAGAAAAACTTGCCACATCCTTAGAAATTTCAAGGCATTCTATATCTGCTAGCTAACAAATTACCACATTAAAAAATACAGCTGACAACAATAACCTGATTGATGACTTTTAAAATAACCATATATCTAAACAATACACATGCTTCACTATTTTCTTTGAAATAAATATAAAACATTGTTATGGAGATAACTCATAATTACACTAGACTTAACTTATAATCTAAAACATAATTACCTTTAATAAACACTATAGTATGCCATTCTCTCAGTTTGCCTCCCTCCTCATAATTTTTAGTAACATCAAGATATTTAGAATGAATGTATTTCATAGGTATATTTCTTAAGTGTAATAATTTTGTGATTACTTGATGAATAAAATCTCTCATCTTTCATTTAATGAATGAATAAATTGTAGAAAATACATCAGTGAATTAATAAACTAGACAATTAGATAAGAAAATGACTGATAACAGAACAAGATGGGAAAATTACTTGACCAACAAGATAGTAAAGAAACAAAATAAATAGACAGACAGTAAGATGAATGGATAAACAATATAGCAAGGCAAGAGACTGTATGAATAAGCAGCAGATGAAGAAAGGGATATAACATGTGGAAATCCCACAAAAACTTTGTTACTATGTATGATAGTGGAAAATGAGAAAGAAAAAAAAAGCTCTGAGTAATAATACAAAGTATTAGCAAAACAAAACTGTTTTGTTAAATGTAAGGTTTTTAGCATTCATAAATGTAGCAAACTTGAGACAACAAAATATATTTTGTTTACTGTAAAATTGTGAGGATGTGTATACTTTTGAAGTTCGAAATTGATGTTGAACAATCAAAATGTTCTAAAAACAGATGCATGCCAGCTTTTTTATAGAAACTTTCTGAAATAAGTATTGTGATTTTTTTAGTTTGAGAACTTCACAGAAAGCTAAACAAAGGGCTATATGACCAAAGTGTGATTTGACTGTCACTCTTATAGCGCACCAATGGCTCCAGTGTGGAGTATCTTTTTACAGCAAATAGCTGCAAACCATGAACCCTCAGCTTCAAAGTACCAAGATTAATTTGTGTAACATAAATTAATTAATACCAACAAAATAGTGTTTAAAAAAAGTTCTTTATTTAAAACAAAATGACCTACAGCAGAACTTTTTCTTCCTTATGTACTATATAATACACAAAAATACACAACTTTTTCTTACTTATGTACTATATATTACACAAAAATACACAACTTTTTCTTACTTACATATTTTAATTTATACTTTAAGATCACAAGGATTGCAACGTTTTATTTTTATATAGTTTTTGCATTGTTTAAAATTCCAACTTTGATAAAGGCTGAAAATTTACATGTGTCTGACTAAGCATTTGTGTATTTATAGAAGTTCATTCATTCTTGTGCATGATGAATCACCCAATTCACTTACATACAATATTTACAAAAATCACTTTTTGTGTAGGTAATTGAAGAAAAACATTTTTAACTTTTATTTTTGCATATCCTATATACATGAATTTATAAAATAAATAAGGGAAAATTACATAAGAATAATTTATATTTCAAGAATTCTGAAAATAAATTTAAGATTCTGTTCAAGGATAAAAATTTCTAACTGCCATTTATACAAATTATGAATGTATATAGAAAAAATGCACAATAAGCTAAACTATCCAGAACAAAAAAACACATATGATGAATTTAGCCACATAGTTTAATGTATGTCAATATTACAAACACCTATAAAATTATTAAACAATGATAAACTAGATCTTACAAATTATCACGAAGTTAAAACTATAAGTAAATATTCAACTGCATAAAGTATTAGCATATAATACACTACACCATACAAATCTTTATCAGTTAATCCAACCTATTGCTAACTATACAATAATATACAGAAAAACATGTTGAACACCATACTAACTATACAATATTATATAAAGAAAACAGATTTAACCAAAGTATGCAAATTACCAGTTACTTCAAACCATTGCAAACTATACAAACATACAAAATAAGCACAATATAATTGAACAATGGAGATTAACAGCTAATCTAAACTACCACTAAACATATATTTGCATACAGAGAAACAGGGCTGTATTAACTTTGATAGGGGCCTGTAGCTTCTAAATTTTGTGGGGCACTAATATGCATATTCAATTTCTTTTTTTTTTGCTAACTTACCATTCCCTTTGCCCAATTTTAAATTTGAACTTTTTACAAATGATCTTTATGGTGTGCACATAGAAGTTATTATTTATTTATTTGAAATACACCTTTATATAAGGTGATTTACTGGGTTTCTACGTATCAAAATGTAATGCACCACATACACAACATTCCAGTGTAACAAACCATCGCACTTATCCTTCTACATAACAGACCCATGAATCTCTTATTTTTGCAGAGATTGAACAGCTTTAATCTAAATTCAATCTTTAAATTACCATATACTAAACTATGTAGAATATCAGTCACCTCAAATTATCATAAACTATATAGTTGTATACAAACACAAAAATGTAATGTAGAAAATCATACATATCATAGTTATCCCACACTCTTATTAACTATATGGTTGTATATACAGAAAAAAACATGACATTCAAAAATGAATCACCCAAAAATATCATTAAATATAAAATTCTATACAGAAAAAATAATATAAACTAAAAAACAACAACTAATGCCTGATGTGTATATAAAACATTTTTGTGTGTAAACTACCTGTAGAACTAATTCATTACCTACAATATAGTTTCCATGTACACCACAAGGTTTAATACATCAGTATAAATAAATAATCATTTCAGAATATACTAATAATAAACAATCACAGTGACATATACTTTTACAACCTCTCACTCTTTCATAATTAGTACAAGTGTGACCTTCAAATAAAATTATAAAGTCCTTTGTAATTGGCACCTCTTGTGTAACAAATGTCCTAGAAATTATCAGGAAAAACTGATACCATTATTCAGATAAAATGACAGCCATAACTTCATAAAGAACTGATTTTAAAAATGTGGATGACTAAGAATTGCTGTATGGGCAATAAGTGTGTATATATATATTACTAACATAAAAAGTGCCAATCATTATTAAATATACGGATATGTAAATAATATGCAATAACATGTTTAAATTTAATTTCAGTTAACCCTCATCAACTACACACTTACTAAATTGTACATGTTTAAAACATTTAAGGCTTTTACACCTGGAATATTTGTTTGAAGCATGGCAGAAATCTAAGTTATAAAGGGGGGAAAAGTTCTAAAACCAAATATACACATCCAAACATAATGTTAATTTTTATTATTTCAGAACTGTAATTTATAGAGGAAATAACTTGATTTAAACAAATACATATATATAAACTATATTTATTAGTCTCTCACAAATACACTAAATATCCTGAGAGAAATCTACTAAAGGAACTCCATGTAACCAACAAATTGTTTCACTTATGTAATGATGCATCTAAAAATAACAAGAGAAAATATATGAAGTATAAATGTACAAATTGTTACTGGAGTTATCTACACAGTACACACTCTTCACTATTATTTTTGAAATAAATAACAATGTTGTTAGGAAGATAACAACTAATAATTACACTGTACATTTTTACATCAGTGATAATTTACACACACACACACACACTGTTTAAACCATTATATACAAAAGCTACACACAGTGTTTACATACAGCAGCACTGTAGCCTTTTCTGATATTCTCAAGTCACACACCTTTATATAATAATATTTTTACAAAATCCATTTTACAGTTTTCTGAAGAAAGAGTAAGATAATAAATGATCTCTCTTTCTTGATAATTGTGTAAATTCATAATTTAACATAAACTGTATATACAATCATAAATATATATAATAACTACCAAACACAAGGCTTTCTTACGATCCGGACTAAATTGGTGCCCATAGTCAGAAGTGAACTCTTACTCATTCTTGTCTCAAGCTATAAAACCTCAAGGGTGAATCTATTAATGATATTTAAGTAAATATGAAAGAACTGTGAAGGTTTGTTGTACTGATGGCTTAGCTCTGCATTACATACAACATTTCTGCTTAATGACTCATACTGTGAACAATCAGTATTATGTAATAATCAGTAAACCTCATGAACAAGTTTTGACATCTTACAGGTAATTATTTTGGCTTGGCAAGTAAAAAGGTCTGGTGCCTTCAGCAGTTTAATAAAAAAATATCTTACACACACACACACACACACATATATATATATATATATATATACATACAATAAACTGATGAAAGGATCTTTTAAAGAGGTTAGTAGCATATACTAGAGTTGAGGAATGATTCTTTTATCACATAATAATAATCTACAGATATATATATATAACAAATAATTGTGTTTTCTCTTTCAAATAAATATAGATTAAGGAAACCATATCAAAGACAGTTCCTACGTTTTTAGGCTTTCATTCCAATCTTTCATTTTAATTCATTTTGTACATAACTTTCACATGTATAGTGAGATATGTATATATTACAACACAGATAAACATCTGAACATACAAAATATAATTAAACAAGAAAATTTTGCTAAAATTTCAGAGACAAAAAAATGTTTTTAGCATTGATTAAATTTCCTATGTATGTATTTTAAAAAACTGCAAGCAATTTGTATTATGGGACACATCACAAATAGATCTTGTAACTTGAGCACCTGAAGACTATATACATCTTATGTGACAATACTACATAATGAATAACAAAATGTCTACCATGAGCAGCCTAACATTGCATTTGTCACATAACAATACAAAAATACAAAGAAAATATGAATTTTATATCCCTGTATGAAGATAAGCTTCAAGCATGTACTTGTTACTATGGGAAGAGTCAAAAGATGAGTTATATATAAAAAAAAAAATGGTAGTTTACATTAATCTGACATAAAATTGATAATTTAAATGAAATTAAAGAACAATGATATTTACTGCTAAAAACTCACTTGAAATATCAAAATGCTATATAAATGGCATAACATGTATGGCCATATTGAATTATTTATCATTATCTAGTAACTTTTAGCAAAGTGCTGAATTTCAGCTATTGAGAAATAGTTATACTCCACATTCACTGGAATAGGATCTTGTAGTATCATAAGCCTGAATGTAACCTTGACCTTGTAGTACAAAAAGTCTGCATTCCACAGCATATTTATCTAAAAGTTGCGAAAAAAACAACAACACTATAATCTAAAGATTTCTGAGAATTTTAGATAATCTGTAAATATTATTTCTTCACAATAAATAAGAAAATAAATAAAAGGTATGAAATAAAATTAACAATTTCACATTTAAGGTACAAGTTTCAAACAATGCTAGACATCTGCTTTATTTTCTTTACTGTGGTTATATCAAAATAAAGTGTGCAAAAAGAAATATATAAGAACATACTAGAAAAAATAATTATGTAAAATCAACAAACCTTTATTACTTAAGATTCTTTCAAAACAAATACATTTTGATAATGAGAAACATTATATTTTAGATACTAAAAATACCTTTTACTTTATATAATATCATAGACCATAGTGCTATCAATGTTTGCAAAAAGTACTTTGAATCACCTTTTTCTCAGTTTATATGTCTATGGAACATTACTGTATTGATATAATTTATCTTTATTTAAAGTAGATTTAAAAACTAATGTTTCTACATATTTAACTTACATTTATTCAAAAGTTTTCTATCTCTCTCATCAGTAATTTGTTGTGCTAAACTATGAAGAAGTATTTGTGCCCTTTGGTAATGACGGAAACACTAAAAAAATAAATAAATTAAAATCAATTATTATTTAACTTGGTTGTTGTATTAATTAAACCTTTAAATATAATTTCTACTTTTGAAACATACATCAACTGTCAAAAACAGAAAATAAAACTTAAGTAATTTGTTGCATAATCTTTTGTGCATAGCCATTCCAGCCTAATTTTGAACTGGTAGAATAGAGAGAAAGAACTTAGTAAATAAACACTCACAAACAACTCTTGAATCACTTTTATCTGACTGAAAATTAGGATCAGACTGTCACTCTTATAGTACACCCACAGTCCTAAAGAGTAGAGCACATTTATATGGCAATGGGTCATGAACCTTCCAAGCACGCTAACCACTGGGTCATTTCTAGCCTCTTAAGTGATTCAACGTTAGCAACATTGTAGTAACAAACTCTTCCTCTTCCAGAACTTTATACTTAACATAAGCCTGGCATGATAAAGGATGGTTGTTATTTATATTCTGATGACTTCTAGAATAACCATATAAAATTCTCTAGGTTAATTGATGATTAAGGTTTTTATTCACAGAAAAAAAGATTCAACTTTTGTAAATTAAAGTAAAATATTACCACTTCTGGATTCCCAAACAATTCTTCTATTGCTGCTGATTGACACTACAAAAAGTAAGAAATACAAGATATTAAAAAGTGAAATTATTTTGGAGTACTGTGTAGTAATAGAGGTACTTCTTTCACCAGCATTAAACATACAGAGTTTATAGTCATAAAGCAATCCATTTACTCTGTGTTTGATTTTAATATTCATTATAAAAGTCACTTATTAAACATACAATGGGATATAAATAATAAAAAAATCTATATATAAATCACCATCAAAGTATTTCAAGTAACGTTTTCATTTTTATTTCTTTGTTACTGATAATGCAAGTGAATAGTTGCACCAACATATCATCAGTAACCTTTAATGAAATTAATGTAACAAGATCAAAAAAATACTATAGCTTAAACTTTATGGTTATAACACACCAAAATGAAATATATAAATATATACCATTTCAATAGCATAGTTATAAATAAGTTTGTCAGCTGTGATACTGTAACTGTTGGGATCCATTCCCCTAGCTTCCAGGGTTCCTTGGCTTTTGAGAGACTTACACATGGTCAGACAATAGTGGAACTGTTCCTTCATTGTCTGGAGAGCTGTTGGAACAATGTTATTCTTTAAAAACGTATCATACAATAAACATCTAGAGACTGACCTACTGGTGATAAAGGAATGGTTTTTGCTGGCATTTTCTTTATCAACTTGTGAAAAGAATTGTTTATGTATAACCTTATTTTTGAAGCCAGGAAAAAAAACATTACAATTTAAGGAATGTATGATTATCTCCCTTACTATTTTTAGTAATTCAATTTTCAATATGTTTAATATATTTTCAAATCTATACTAAACATGATTACATAAGTTAGTGATAACCATCTATATGTCTTCTGACATCTTACTTTCCTAAACTTATAAAAACATTCCAAAATTATATTTCCACTTTAACAAAAAACAAACAAAGTCACATTAATAGTGAAGAATATGATTACACAATGAAAAGTATGCAGCAAAAAGTTCATAATCATATGTTGTGTAAATAAATTGAGCTCAAACTTTACCATTTCGAACAGATGTAGAAGGAGATAGATGGCCAACCTGGACTTCCTGCTGAGCAAGTTGGAGGGAAGATGATAAAAGTTGCAAGGCTCTTACAAAAAGAACTAATTGCTCAATTCGTCGATAACGTTCTGTGACAAATGACATTTGTCCTGGCTGATTCTGAAAATAAAATGAGTGCATGGGTGAATTTCAAGCTTTTTCACAGTAGCTATGGTAAGAATAAATACTTTTCAATATCTGAAAATATGGACAGATTATTCTGTACCTAAGAGAAAGCATTTTAAGAAAAAACACAAATAATATTTTACTTCAATGCTTGGTCTACTTTTTTATGTTAGTTTTGTGTGTAAGCTTAAGTGCAGAGTATTAAAGATAGACTGTCAAATGATACTCATAAATTCCTAGTTTATAATGACATTCAACAAGACACAAAATTCTTTCTAGGCCAAACCTGAGTAGAGACATTATTTGTGAAGTTTTTCTGAACAGCAATATAGCACACACACTATAGCGAAACCTCAGTTCATACACTATTTTTTAAGTTCTACCTAACAACAACATAAAACAAATATCTTTGATGCAAGAGTTTTGAAGGATTACATCTAGTTAACCTTACCTGATTTTTCATAAATGACTCAGTAAGAGAAGCTAACGGGGTTCCTTTAGATTTGGCTAGGTCTAGAACACATTCAACAAGAGCCAGAACAAAATTTAACCTAGCCAAGGTCTCATTATGCTCCTTCTATAACAATAAAAAACATGTCTATGTACATTTTATAGCTTTTGATAATAAAATTAGGAAAAACAACATTTAAATTCCAGATTAGAGAATTTTTATTTCAACTGATGTTTCACCTTTGCAGCTTCTTCGGTGCTAGTACATAAAATTGTACAATATTCGTTAAATTATTAAACTGCTTCTAGTGTTCTATTTCTCAAGTCTTCCATTAAGTGCCTCTAACAATGTATAGAATATTATTACTGTTTCACTATTGTTTTAATATTATAGTATAGCTATGATACTGTTACGTCTCCGTTCGTTAGTTGATTTTCCGTAACTTCGTTCTGACAAAACTTTAGCGACACAGGTCCTTACTTAATAAAACTGGTTTATTCTTTCCGAATACAACTTTACGATACACTTAATTTCAACAGTCGCTCTATAACAACACTATAATTCACATCTCACGAGGCCAACAATATTTTGTCCGCATACATTCAATTACTCATTACACTGTTGTCCCGTCACGTTGTCAATGTCTTATACATACAAGACTAACACATATCTAGTAGTCTCCCAATAATTCACGAAGGTTCGAGAAGTGGCGTGATACTAGTCACGTGACCTCGCTGACACAACACTGCCCCCTCCTTAGCATTGTTCATCCCAAACAATAGCCACTTACATTAAACCAATAACAATT